TTGGTCAGGCCTTTGGTGTTTCTTTTTATCTAGCCTCTTAACTCTATTCTCATTGCCGGCCCGGTCACTGTCAAGTTTAAATAAATAAATTAATACATAAATTGCTGATGCATGAATATAACAATTGATTATTATAGTCTACTAGATATAATATTATTATTATTAGTTTTAAACAAGTGTAAAATTAATTCAAGTTGATATTACAGACTTTATCAATACAATAAACTACGGCCTCACTGCATTGTATTATTACTCAACAGATATAGTAGATCTATCTCGATAGATAAAAATTATATTTGTCACTGAAGTTCTGTATGTTGTCTAGGCCATCATGGAGTTTGCTAGCATCATAAATACTGATGCTAGCATAGATATCTATGCTCTAGGACGGTCAGGTCCGTGATCATTAACGCGGAGTCCGTACTTTAGTCTTTTCGGGTCCCTTGGTCGGGTCAATAAATTAGTTTGTATCGGGTCCGTCGCTCGGTCCGTAAATCAGTCTTTTCGGGTCCGTTGGTCCGGTCCGGTCCGCTTTTTAGGGACAACCAGAAATCTATGCTATGACACCCGGTTCGCAGTGGCGGATCTAGGGGGGCCAGGGGGGCAATGCCCCCCCAAAAATTTTCTGGAGTAATATAAACTTTGGTTTACCTGTGTAAACTGTGAAGCAGCTGCAGTACTGGACTATGTAAACAATCTTTAAACCACAAAGGAGCTTATTTTAGCAGGCTTAGTCTTTATAATTTTTACTTCCCAAAAAGTTTTGCACAAGCATAGTTGACCACACCCCCTAATTACCCCTCCCATCTCACAATTGCCCTCCCAAAAATTAAATCCTAGATCCGCCCCTGCCGGTTCGTACACCTTTCCCGTCACATTAGATAGGAAAAGTTCGGAACACATGACTGTAAAAGTTCCGGTTATTAACTAGTTATGTATTAAATTTAACCCCTTATTTATAAGAATGGCTGCTGGAAAGAAGACCTTTAGTACTGTATGCCATTATGCATCGGAGCAAGCCACATGAAGGTTGCAATAAAGATGATGGTATGTTTAAAACTTCAGCCTTCACTACTGATGATTTCCTGCAGCCTAGCACTTGGTTTTTAAAAGAGGTAGCCCTACTTGTGTATTGTGTAAATATCCTGAACTACATGTATGCTATGCATCAGCAAAATATGTGATATTTCAATTGTAATGCATGATAAATGTATGTGTATAATTGTTAATGTGACGGTTATGAGCTAACTGTAGCCTGCTGATGTTCATCTCATGATCCATGTAGTAATATATTTGAATGGAACTAGCCCTTAATATTTTGCATTTTCTAGTATAATTGAATGGTAATGAATGATGATGCAATACTCAATTTTACGTTTTTGTTCAATTTATTCCTTGTATAGTATCACTGACATAATACACCTAATCCATGCATGCTACATAATGCATGCAAAATTTTGTGTACTTTGAACATTAAAGATACTATTGGTACCACACTACTTGTACTCATTTTAGAACTACTTTGGGACCACTAGGCCTGAAAATTGTTATACAGGTCTATACTGTGTTGTCATTGTACAATGTACAATAATCAGGTTATGGGTCTGATACAGTATAATTGTATCTGATTTAGTTTTACCTATAATCTTGCTTTACCTACCAATGCTACATGCCTGTATTGGATGAATTTTTAGCATGGAAGAAACATTTAGGCCTTATCAAAAATGTTTATTGAGTAGCAAAACTTTTGGTAAATAAATTAAACTGAAATAATGCTTTGTTGAAAGTTTTATAAATTAAATCACTAATAGTGTAACTGCTTGCAATTGAAATCTCTATTATAACAGTTATGCCCAGAGTGCCTTGTCTATGGTAGTCATTGTGATTGTTTACTTGTACATGTTTGGTCTCAGACGATTCCTCATGATTTATGCATTGAAGTTCCACAGTCATTAATCATGTAGTCTAAGTATTATTTGCTACAT